TAGAGCAGAAATCTTTATTGGGCATGCTTCTGTTGCAGCAGTAAATCTATGTACTTATCGTAGATTTTATAATCAGGTTTGATTCTTGGCACATTTATAAACAGTGAGATTCATACAGCGAGTCCCAGGCTTTAGATGAGTAAAAATTCCTTTTTACACATCTTATACTACGGAGCCCCTAAAGGGACATGGAGGAAAAAATAAAATTTGCGAGATCCCACAATACTTTTGCGAGATCTCGCAAACATATTGCAGAATCTCGCAAAAGTTATTTTTTTCCCCTCCCATGTCCCTTTAGGGGCTCCGTAGTATAAGATGTGTAAAAAGGAATTTTTACTCATCTAAAGCCTGGGACTCGCTGTATGAATCTCACTGTTTATAAATGTGCCAAGAATCAAACCTGATTATAAAATCTACGATAAGTACATAGATTTACTGCTGCAACAGAAGCATGCCCAATAAAGATTTCTGCACTAAAAATAAACACAAAACAAAGTACAGCTGCCACCTTGCTTGTTGGTGGAGTTGGAGGATGAGGGACAGTGTCAGTTGATTCTATAGTAGGAGAAAAAGTTTCCTCTTCTAACCCATCAAGAAAGATTACGTATTTTAATCCTTTTTAACCAATCCTGTCGTTAGATTTAACATAAACCATTCACACCACTGGAACTGAGTTTTTCCCGCAATTGTGATGTTTTTAGTAAACGGTTTTCCTGAGAAAGTTAGCAGCAGTCTTTCCTTATGTGAATAATTTCTCCTTTCGCAAAAAGGAGTAACTTTACATAGTTAAGAAATATTCTTAGAATCCTTCAAAGTCACCAACTGCTAATGATCCGTTTATGAAATGCATCTAAACAGCCGGTACCTTGTTTTGTCATTGTCTCCTTTCTATCTCCTCTTTCTTTCATCTTTTCTCTTTTTTTCTTGTTCTTCTTCTGTTTTTCTGCTCCATTTACATTGCAGTGTCCATATAAAATGTAAAACTCCCTGCATAATTATTATAAAGCAATTTATATGCATGAAACAAGTGGAGCAATTGCCATACTGCTACACTTGTGAAAATAAAATCTGTTGGGCTCTTTTTGGCATCAAGAAAATTATTCTTATTGCCAGATTGCCAGATGGGACACTGTTAAAAAAACAACAAAAAAAACAGCCGGTACCTTCTTAAATGCTATAGAAGTGGTAAGGGTGTACTCACTTCCTCATGTTTGCTTCTTTCTAAATTTGGTGTTATTTGGTATCAAACTGGAGGTGAAATTGAAGTGCTTTTAGAATCTATTGAAGATCTTTCTATGCATGTCCTCATATGCAAAAATACAGAAGGGTGTACTTGATTTCTACCATCACTGTAAACATTTTGTGGCAGTAAAATCAGGTTAAATATGTCTCAAGTTCAACAGCATCACATGTTTAGATGGTAGAAAAACAGCCGCAGGAGCTAAATGTTGGACTCTTATATAAGAGTTGATGCCCTTTCTGTCTCAGGAGATCATGATGTTGCTTGCTCCTCCATCTCAGCTTGAGCTTCTCATCTTCTTCCTCTGAACTGCTCCGTATCGCTTTCTTCTTGTCTATTTTGGTTTAGAAAAGGGGCTTTCCCTTTGCCGCTTGTACTTAGCTTCTTCTTTACCAGCGCCATAATTTACAAGTTGTCAGATGCTGTACGTGTCCTTGTGCCCTTAAAGCACTCGCTCTCTCTGTTGTGAGCAATATTTACAAAACACATTTGTGTTCCAGGGGATGAAACAAAAACTGCAGAGATCAGTGGAATCTCAGTTGTTGGTCCTTTTAGTATACATAACACACAAGAGGAACAAATGCATACAGTATGTATGTGTTGCACAGCAAAGGATTTTTTGCTTTTAGTTTTTGTTTGAGTTTGACATAATCCCTTCATTTCTCTGTTAAAACACTCAGCAGTAATTTTAAAAGATGATTTTTCCAGCTACATCTGGAACTTCTAGCTAAACGTAATCATTTAAGTGTGATTTGGGCACCTGGCCCAAAAGCAAGATTTCCTGTTATCCCAGCCTTAATCAGGTTGTTCAAACGTAGCTGAAACAGCTTTGATCTGCCGGTATAAAACCTTTTCATGGAAGGGAAATAAATGAATGCAGAAGTCAGCCTTACCTGGAAAGGGATTACCAAGTTCACCTTCTCGCCCACAGGAGTGATGAGCTTAGATCTCAGGTTGCGTGGGACTCTAATCTTTGGATTTTCTGCATAGTGGAAAGAAACGATGAACCTAGTTTATAAAAGAGGCCTTAATGTCCCCAGTCAGAAAAAATGTGAGCCATTTTTGATTATTAGATTTTCATGCAGAGTTTCAGGAAAACGTCAGACAATCAGATTTCAACCAAACATGCTTGAAATGCTCCTATGAGTTTTTTTGAACTCTTGCTTTAATGCAGTCGAATGGTGAGGAGTGAAGCTTCTTAGCTAGATAAGATTGCATGATGGTGTCAGTTTTAGTTTTTAACCAGTTAGTAATTGCACCTTTTTTTTTTTAGGGTTTTCTCAAATCCAGATGGGTAAAAAAAGGTTTGCAGTATCTTTCACTCTCCCAGCTTTTCTTAACAAGATACTTTCTTTTTTGTGTGTGTTCTATTAAATAGCTTCAGCTCAGCCAGTATGGATGGAAAGAGTCTCTAAATCAGCTTTGTCAAAACAAAGCAGGTCTGGACTTTGACTAGGCCATTGTGACACATAAGTATGATTTGATTTAAACTGCTCTATTGTAGCTCAGGGTGTGTGTTTAGGGTCGTTGTTCTGTTTTCAAGGTTATCCTGAACTTAGCTCAAACTATTTAACCATTAATAGCTTTTGCAGTACACACTCCACCAAAACCAAGACATTCTTTGTCACTTCTGCAGAGAATTATGTCATGTTGTTCTTGCAGCCATGTCTCAGCGGTTTTCACTGCTGATTCTCCACACACCCTCTGGGAAGAACTTTTCTTCTTGCATTCCCTAAACAGTTGTACACTCTGTCAGGATTTAGCTAGGCTTTGTAGTATTTTCCGCTCCTCCTCTTCCTTACTGATCCAAAAAAGGCCTCCTCTGCCATTGTGCCTCTGTTGTTTTTGTCTTTGGCGGTTGTAAAATGAGCTACATTGCACGGGACCTTTGATGACCTCAGCAGTTCAGCCTCTCGTAATGTACGACTGCTCGGAGGCAAAACTAAATATTTTCTTGTTCTATGCAACCGGAGAACAAAAACAAGGTCTCATCTGACCAGAGGATCTTCTTCCACATGTTTTCTGAGCTCCCTCTGTGCCATGTGGTAAACAGAAATCTGGACTTCTAAAAGGCTTCCTAACAACAATGACCGTCTCAATGGATGACAAACCCAAGCTGTGCATTTCTGAAGATCCTCCAATGTTACTGTTTTTTTTGGGGGGGGGGGGGGGGTTATGCTTCTTTCAATGCTTTCTCACCTGCACTGCAAAAATTATCTAGAAATAAGTTAAAATATCTTAAATCAAGTGTTTGTACCCTTAATTTTACTAGGTAAATGGGATGATTTGCCAATGGAATGAGTATTTTTACTCTTAAAATAAGATAATTATATAATATGCACTTGTAATAAGACAATGCAGTTGCTTTTTCTTATTTTAAATGTAAATTGTCTTGTTCCATTGGCAAAGTGTCTCACTTACTTCCTCAATTAAAAAACAAATATGCTTAGTTTAAGAAAAAATGACTTATTTAGATTTCCATTTTTTGCAGTTGGGTTTATGAGATTAGGTGGTGGAAAGCCATATTTTTGGAAGTCTTCAATTGGTCCATCTTCTTTCCATGTTCAGATGTTGTTTAGACAGAGATCTGGGAGATGTTTTTATCTCGAGGGATTGTTTTAGGACCTAACTGGGCTCTAAACTTCTCCACAACCAACTCCCTGACATGTCTGCCGTGTTTCTTGGTCTTCATATTGTTACTTGTTTAGTAAACCTTTGAGGCCTTCATAGAATAGTTGAGTCACTGAGATTTTTTATTGATTAGGAATTTTCTCAAGGGTATCACTACAAATGTCCTTCACACTTTTTTATATTTTATGTGTACAAACAATTCAAAATGGCATAGTAATTTTCTTTTATTTTAAACAAATTGAAGAATATTTGAACTATGAAGGGTTAATTTTGTTCAGAGCATTGTAAGTCCCTCACCAACAATCTCCCTAATGGTGACGGCCTGAGACAGAGTGGCAGGGAGGCTATGTCCAGCAACATTAACTGCAAACACTCTGAAGAGCATCTTCTCCCCGGCTGGGAGACCCTTCACCCTGTACTGGGTATTTCCCACTAGTTCCTTATTGGCCTGCACCCACTGGTTACCTTGGAAAAAAGAATAAAAAAAAAATAATTAGCAAGAATTCAGCTTAAACCAGGAATCACACTAAAACAATGCATTCCAATGAACTGAGATGTTTACTTCCTTCTGTGCAGTATTCAATGATGTAGCCGTCGATGCCTCCAGCTCCGATTTTATCTGGAGGTCGCCACTTGAGAGCGCAGGTAGTGTCTGTCACATCCTCCACCCCGAGACGAGTGGGCTCACTCGTGGGGGCTGAGAGAGACAAGAGCTAATTAATACCTTAATACCTGGCATAAATGGAAAGGGAAGGCAGGTTGGGCTACGTCGGTATTAGCATCATGTGAAAAGCCTTTCTTAATTAACCACTCTGTTGATGACATGCAGCAACGCACCGATGGGCATGAAGGGCTTGGAGCTGGAACTGGGCTGAGAAATGCCGATGCCGTTGACTGCAAACACTCTCATCTCATAAAGCACACCTTCAATCATCTTCTTAGCCTCATACGTGGTGGACTCATAAACATCGAAGTTTAGTTTGGTCCACCTGGATGAAGCAACCTTCTTCCTCTCCATCAAATACCCTGAAATTAGAAGTAACAACTGTTTTTCCTTATATTCTTGTTTGCTTTGGCTTTTTTTTTCAAAAACTTCAAATCAAACACATTTTGACATTAGATATATTAAAATCACAAACATGAATTAATTTATTAAGAGATGAAAAACTTTGATCAATCTTATTTTTTTGATTGAGCTGCACTTGCTGGAACCAAGTTCTGTTGCTCCCTGATCTGTAGAAGTTAAGAAATCACTTAAATAGTTACTGTCTGACAATATGAAGCAGGTAAAAGAGATAAAAAAGAAAGCAGGAAGCACATCATGTCAGATCTAAAGAAATGTAATGGTAGTCTAAGCAAAGTCAATGACATCTAACGATATGGAAAGGTTAAAAATTATTTCCTAAGGTTTCTGGACACCAGAGAAGCAATACCACCAAGTAGAGAAAACATGAAACAAACAAATTATCTTTGTTCCAACCAACTTTGCACCTGTTACTCATGGCAAGAAGCCCAGTTATGTCCTATTAAATAATTTTGGACCTATAGCTTTGTCTTGGTGTATATTGGATCAAACCGAGTTAAAAAGAGCTGGTGGAGATAGATCCAGCTGTTTAGAGCCTAACCTGCTCAAAATTAGACAGCAACTCCTTCTTTTTCAGGGAGGAATGGGATTTGGGAATGAAGCAGACAAGGACAACTTTCTCATGTAGGATATTTTATTCTAGTTTATTATTCATATCGCTTTACTTTTGTAGTACTTTCAGTTTGTAGTATTTTCAGATAGGCTACCTATGTGAAGTGCACCATAATAATATTTTGTATTATCATTGTTATTCCATCCATCCATCCATCCATCCATCCATCCATCCATCCATCCATCCATCCATCCATCCATCCATCCATCCATCCATCCNCATCCATCCAGGAAAATGTAGATATGCGAATTAACCTAAAAGTCGTGGTTTGGGGAGGAAGCTGGAGTAGCAGAAAGAACCCGAGCGAGGCATCAAACTCAGAACCATCTTGCTGCAGGGCAACAGTGCTTCAATCTGCACATCAATGTTATAATTTTAAGCAATTATTGTCATTATGTCCTCCAGTTACATGGCATAGAACCTCATCTTAGTTTATCTTAGACCGACAGTATCATGTGCAATCTGCACATTTGAACTGAGGTGAACCAAACGTATTTGTATCTCTTAACTTTAACACATTAATCTTGGAGTTTAAATACATATCAATCGGAAATTTGGTTGATAGCTACTGAGCATGCATATAGTAACAGTGGAAAGAAATCCCCCAGCTTCAAAAACATTCCTAGGAGTGGCTGGCCAGGCAAAATTACTCCAAAAGCCCATTAGTGACTCATCCAGGAGGTCACAGAAGAATCCAGAACAACATTGCAGACATCACTTCCCAAATAAAGGTAAAAGTTAATGATTCAACAATAAGAATGAGACTGAACCAGAGTGTTAGAGTGATAATTATAAAATTATTGTGTGGACATAGGAAACATTGAAAGAAAGAGGATGTTACATTTCTATGCTGTGAATCAACCAGAAGGGTCATAAACTTTTATGACCTCCAGGCAGAATCACACGGTTGTGTGACTTCCATCCAGCCAGTTGGTCAATTCACACTATCTTGTTACCTGCATCCTCCCAGACAATCATTACTGGCTCTTCTGTTTTAGGCCCGCCTGTTTGATGTTGTAAACTGTTAATAAAAGGCTTTGCTATGAAGGGATCTGTGTGAGAAGGTGCTGGTTTTCCAGCCAGCATCTTCTCTCCACCCGGCAGACGCTGACGTCACAAAACCCTGTCTCTGTGTTGATCATTTCCTTTTAATCTTTTAAACTCACATTTTTCTGGATTAAAACCCAACACAGAGTTTTAAGACCCAAACTGCTTCTGACCAACAAGAAAACATACTCATGATCCCCAAAGCTATTGGGAAAATATCCTTTAGATTCATTATATGAAAGTGTATATAACAAGTATGGTGCACTAGAATAGCTCTGAACACAACCATTTATTGAGATAATAAAAGGACAATTTCTCTGAGTGGCATAAAAATGAGGAAAAAAAAGATTGTTCTCTGACAAGGTAGCTTTGACAAAGTCTGGACTTACATCTGATTCAGAAACTGTGATCTGCCCCTTAAATAGGCTGTTTATATCTTCAATGTGACTGAAATAAAACCATTATACTGTATGAAAGTGAGTACTCCAACTCCAGCTTGTACTTATTGTCTTCCGCTTCATCCGAAACCAGGTCAGAGGAGAAGTGTCAGCAGAAACTCCCAGACTTCCCTCCTCCCAAATACTCTATAGCTCTAGTGGAGGAAGCCCAAGACCCTTCCAGTCCAGCTGAGAGTCCCTAGAGCATGTCCTGGGTTGTCCCCTGGACCTCCTACCAATGGGATGCCCCTGGATGACCTCCCAAGGGAGGTGTCATGGGGTATATCCGAAAAAGATGTCTGAGCCACCTCGGCTGACTCCTCCTGATGTGGAGAAGAAGCAGCTATACTTTGAGTCTCTCCTGAAGTGATTTCCTGACTCTATCTCTATTGGAGTGACCAGCCACCCTGCAAAGAAAGCTAATTTCAGCCTCTTCAGTCCAGGATCTCTTGTTCTTTCAGTTATGATCCAGATTTCATACCAAAGAAAAGGACTGACTGGGAAATCAAGAGCTTTGCATTTTCATTGAATGAAAGTAAGTATGCATACATTCCTCCTCATTTCTGATAAATCTCTTTACTTCTAAAGCGTTCAGTGGCTGATGGCAGCTGTTTTTACCGGTATGGATACAGCCAGTTACTAAAGTCAGGGGGTGTCTGCTGTTTTAGATTTTATGGGATGCTTTTTCCACTTTAAATCATTATTTTAAAACTTTTTCTTATTTACTAAGATTATCTTTTATACTAAATCTGTATAATGTTAATGTTACAAAAAAGCAGAAAAAGTCTACAACGGAGCAGAAATAAGATCAGATAGAGATTAGATAAATTAGAGTAGTGTAGGCGAAAAGACGAGATACATGGATCGTAAAGCAATTTTTCTCCTGAGAGTAAGACATCAGATTTAAAAACATCAAATGAAGTGTATATTTTTTACCTTTAACAGGAACTCCGCCATCAAATGAGGGAGGCTCCCATGTGATGAAGGCAGAGTCCTCGCCAACCGATGTGCACTTGACATTCTCAGGAGGATTAGGCACATCTGGAGCCGCAGGTTACAGTTAGAGAGGAGTCATGAATAAAGCAGGCAGACATTTGCATAAGGATGTGTTCTATATTAGGATAGCATAAAGAGTTGATCTAAAAAGTCACTGGGGAACAATAAGACTAAAGAAGGATCCCCAGAGAAACAGGAGCTCAAAGTCACTTTCAGTGTGTGGGTGCTTTGAAGAAAAGAATAAAGTAATTAGAGGTCCATTTAAATTTTTCCACAGCACTCTAATCTATCAAAGATGGTGTACCTCCTGAGTTAAGTTTAAGTGCCAGCACTTCTAATTCTGGATAAGGTATAAAAGGAGGACTGAAGGAAAAAAAAATGCAAAAAGTAACTGACCCACAATCTTGACATAGATGTCAGCCTTGTCCTCTCCTGAAGGGTTGGTCACGGTGATGGTGTAGGGACCCTCATCTCCTCTCTCCGCCCCCTCAATCACAAAGCTGCTCACGGTCTCCCTCGTTTCCACGCGGACCCGTCCCTCGTCCTCAGAGACCAACTGTCACAGAGACCAGGGACTCTCATTTCTTTCTGCTAAGCTCTCCCACTCCCTTCTAAGCTACCTACTTGAACTCTATCTGAGTTCTTTAAGTAGTGAAGGAAGTCTTATCTTTTATCTTTTCTTTGTCTATCCTGATCTCACCTGGTCTCCTTTCATCCAGCACACGGTGGGGGCCGGCTCTCCCGTGACCTCAACATCAAAGCGAAGTTTGTTTCCAGCCACAACTGTGATGACATTCTTGTTACCGCTGCCGCCAGCGTCCAGGTGGATTTTAGGAGGATCTTTGATGAGATCATCCAAAGTGAAAACATGAAAGAGATCATTTAGGTTATAACGAGAATGATTTCTTCAAAGCGACTGATTTTAACTTCAATCATTTTTGTTCAGTTTGGTTTCCTTTATGAAATATAATGTAAGCAGAAAATAATAACTCCATAAATCAAGTCTTTGTTTTAATACTTGTTAGATTTGAATCATACATGAATAATTTTGAATGATGTACTGTAGCATCTCATGGCATCAATAAACATAAACATTCATTAGATACTTGTCTACCTTCTGAAATACCCACGCAAATACCCTCTTAAATATTACAATAACATAACTACTTCTATTTTCATAATTCAGAATACTTTGAATAATGCTCTTAAAACAAGATGTCTTCAAAAGATAAATTTTTTCATTGCATGTTGGTGAATTCAGTCAATGTGTTTTAGCAGACTAGAAAAAGATTTTTAGTCATTTTGGTTAGTTCAGATCTTATTATTAATTATGTTATGCAGTGTTAAAATGGGTGGAAACAGACAATTTAATTCAATAACTGTACTGGAAATGTGTTCTGAAGTGAAATGCAGAAACATGTTTGGAAGCTGCATGGATTGTTTACTGAAATAACAGACAAACAAGTACGAAACATGAAGTAAAACTAACAGACTAACAGATGCAGTGAATATCGACGGAAGGCTAAAGGCTGAAGTTATGAGGAAAATGGGTGCAAACAAAAAGTTAACAAAGAAACACAGAAGAGCGGATTCTACTAAAAAACAGGAGAAACTATTAAACAAGGGTGAAAAGAAAAAAAAACTGAGGGATGAAACTAACAGAACCAAACAAAAAATACAGCAATAATTACTAGAGAAAGTAAAGGAAAGACTGGCTATAAAAGCAAAGAAAAACAGGATGATAAACAAAAAAACAGACAAATGGTAAAAATAATAGAGTATGGCAAGTCATAATGTATCAAATTAATATCAAGCTTGGAGATGCTGACAAGATCCTAAATCAGAAAAGGCCTGCCATAAACAAATGTTAAACAAATGTTTACGTAAGGAAACAAAAATGATAAGCTGAAAAAAATTGCTTTGTACCTACGTAACATCAACAAATTTCAAAAATGGTGATCCGAAATTAGCAGTGAGTGGTAATTCAACTCCATTTGAAGCTTTTGAAACTTGATTTGTTTACCATCCATAATTTGACACCCCTCTACTGGGGGTGTAAATAATAATCGTTTTGCATCGATGCATCGATCCAACAGCCGACGATCCGATGCATCGA